TATTTTCAACCTTGTAAGAGTGTAGTACACTCAGTGTTTTTGACTTAGAAAGTCTATGTAAAATCTATAGAGGATTGCTCCATCTGTGAAAAGGTTGCTAGTACCCTGTGAAGCTAGAGTCTAGTGGAAAATCTCAAGTGAAGCTTGAGGAGTAGACGTAGGCCGAGTTGAAGCCAAACCACTATAAATTTATTTGCCTCTCTCTCCCTTATTTCTTTATTTTATTTAAATTGCCATAACTATATTTCACATTTTCACTGTACTAAAATCATTAACTGACGTAGTTGTTAGAACACTTGTTTTAATTATTTTTATTTCATTAACTATATTTATCTATTGTGCTATTCATAATTTTTATTAGGGCATTATTATTTTTATTTGTAAAACGTAATTCACACCCCTCTTATGTTGTCTTTTGGGTAACATGTACAAAATATATCGCCAACACTACCATACACACCTTTTGCCGGCAGGCTACTCTCACCCACTTCATCTATTGTAACAATGCTTTCTTGAGATAGACTGAAAAAGCTAGGAACTCTTTTGGAGGATAAATATATATCAGTTATGACTGAGAGCTCTAAAAGAGCAGCTCTAATGAGCTGGCATGGAGTAAAAAAAAAATACATCACATCAACAGTGAGTGAGACCCACTGCCCACCTATTAGAACTGGCTTTAAAGCTAAAGAATTAAAGCTCTAAAGCATATTTCAATATATATGATTTCTTTCTTTTTGTATGGTAAGTCAAGTCAAAAAGTTTTTTTTAAAATTTTAAATATTTTTCTTTATTAAAATTAGAAAACCAACCAATCTACAAACACGATATTTATTAATATTTTTTACTTATTTATGACAAGACGATGTGACTTGATTAAAGAATCTTCATATTAGAGAAAATAACATCTATAGATCCACTGCCTTAGTGCATCTCCAATAGAGTTGCCAAATGAGCTGCCAAAGCTATAATTTGAGAAGAATGAAAAAAATGGGGTCTCTAATGGCATGCTATTCCTCTTGCCAAATATAGCATATGCCATTTCTGCTGTCAAATTTGGCAAGAGTTTTGGCATTTGCCAAACATGCCACATCATCAAAGATTAACAGAATTTTGGCTCCAAATTCTCAAATTCATCTGTTTTTGTTCTTCACCACAAATCCACAAATTCACAAATTAAAAAACAGAATCCCATAACTGTATGCAAAATCACAAAACAAAATCACAAATCTCATAACAAATTTTCACAATTTTCACAACTCTCATAAAAAAAATTAAAAAACAGAATGATCAGTGAACCCAAATTTTCACAAATCTCATAACAAATTTTAGTAAATAACAAATCTGAAACAAAATTTACCTGGATCCTAGCAACCCTTGATGGGAAAATGATGATCCTAGCTGGATCGATGGTGGATGGTGGTTCTACTGTGAATTGGTCAGCATCTATCAAAACTCCCAAGTTTGTGCTAAAGGAATGGGCAGAGACCCACAAAATCCCACTCTTCTCAAGCCTTCAATATCTTTCTACCATGGATGTAGTGTGTGAAAGAATCGGTTTTACGGAGAAATGCGTTTAGGAAGGGTTTCAAAATCAAATCCTCTGTAAAGGATGTGAAAAACTTAGTCTGGACATCGAGGGATAGGGATAGGGGCATGATCTAGTGGTGGTTCTGGGGAAGGAGAGAGAGAGAGAGAGAGAGAGAGAGAGAGAGAGAGAGAGAGACGACTTTGGAGTGGAAACAGGGGGAGAAAGAGAATCGGTGAGTGTGAGTGAGAGAAAGGGGGTCGATGATGAGGGATGAAGAGGGAATCAGTGAGCATGAGTGAGAGAAAATGAGTCAATTAGTTTGCACCGTTAGAGAGTCGGATGAAGATGGAAAGAGAGAGAGAGAGAGAGATATGTTACTAGTTTTGATGGGCGGTTGATCAAAATGGAGATGGAGAGAAAGAGAGTAAAGGTGATCAATTTAGATCCAAAGATTTCATATGATCAATTTCAATTGTTGGATTATGAAAACATCCAACGATGGAAAAAATCTTGGAATTTTGAATTTTCTCACAATGGCTCCTTTTCCTATTTCTTATTTTTTTAAACAGAACACTATTATCTCAATGCTATAAATGAATGTAGTTAATATTTTTTATTTTTAATTTTGTAGTGATATATGAACGGTGGGGTGAATTATATATATATATATATATATATTTTTCCAATTTTTCAAATTTTTTTTTTCAATTTTTATATTTGTCTAGTCGGGAATAATATAAATATATAATTTTTTTTTTTATAAATAGTTAAAAAAAGGTTACAAAAGACAAAAAAAATAAAACAAAAATAAAATCATAAAAAAACATATATCCAAGGAATACCTACAAATTTGGAAAAAAAGTTAGTTGAGATTTGTCAAAATAGCAAATGATAATTGGAGCACTATTGCTATAATTTGACAAAATAACACTATTTATTATCAAATTATAGCAATAACAATGACAATATAGTAATAATCATTAGATATGCTCTTATGAAAGAGACAGTAACAAATATAATATACAATAATATTTGGTACCTCTAATTTTTTTGAATGGTTCAAATGTATCAAAACGACGTCATTTTAAAGATAAAACAATATTATTTTATTATATTTGAGTCATTCAAATCACACAAATTCAAATTATCAATTATTTTTCTATAATATAATTCTAATACACAAAACGTCAAATAATCTTTTATGGAACCAGGAAATATATATTATTTCTACCACTAGTAGCGTCTGGGAAATAACCTCTTATTGTGCATCGTCAACGCCGATTAATTTGAACAAGTCCACTCTTCTTAATTCGATACAACCTTGAGGGGTCTTTGTTTTTGGAAAGATTGGGCATGTGATTAGACTATTAGTTTGGATCAGTTAATAATTCGTTATTTGTTTTAAAAGTTTTGTTCCGAACTAATAGTCCATATTTGTGGGACTATGCTATTCCATGGGGGTGAGATAGAAACTTGTGGGGACATAATTTTTGAATGACAATACGTGGCCGAGGTGTCACCGAAGTGCCGGCCGAGGTGTCACGTGTCCTGATTATGACGCCGAGGTAATCTCGGCTAGGCTGAGGTTATCTGTGAGAATACCAGAATCCGAGATAAAACGGATAAGGGACAAGAGTCCTAGAATGAGAGAAGACTACAGTTTGAGAAAAGATGAGACTCTTAGAGAGTTTATTCTAATTCTACTGAGAGTCCAAGATTAACAGTAATCCTAAGTCCATTAGAACTAGGCTTCTATTGGGACTAGGATTGTGTTGACTATAAAGAGAGGCACCCCATGGGTCTAAGGTGTGCTTTTAATATTCTGTCTAGTGAGTTAAGCATTATTGGTTATCTTTGAGAGATATTGAGTATTGACTTGATCGTTGGAATGTCCCCGGTGGACGAGCCACCTCCAGAAAACTCTTCTTTCTGTTGTAGGTCGTTCGAGCTTAATTTATTCTACCGGTGCTCTCCAGCTGGGTACCTGTTTGGCAATATGGTCAGAAAATCACCCACATAAAACCATAGGATAACTCATCCCATGAGATTAGCTAATAAAATTACATTTTTGCCCTCTGATATTTAATTATATATTATATTTAGTAAAATTCAATAAAATTTAAATGTCTCAATTTAAAAATAAAATAATTTTATTTAATTTTATTTTTATTTTATTTATTTATTTATTTAAAATAATTTTTTATAGATATTTTATTGATGTTTTATTTTAAATTTTTTTTATGTTTTATTTAATTTTATTATTTAAATTTTAATAGATGTTTTATTTTATTATTATTTAATTATTATTATTATTTAAAATAAATTTATTTAAAATTTTAATAAAAAAATAACATATATTTTTATTGATATTTAATTTATTTAATTTTTTAAAAATAAATTTATTTAATTGTGCAAAAAATTAAATAAAATAAATTTTTATTTAATTTAGCTAAAAATAATTAAAATATTAAAACTATGTTTAATATTGCTATTACTTAGTAAATAATTGAAAATGATAAAATAATCATTTGAGCATTTATCCTTTTCCATAATATCCCAAACAAACATTGAATTCACTAATCCGTTTGGGAAGTAGGTTGGCTTTTTGGCTTTTTGATTTTTTGACTATTTTAGCCTGGGGCTAAAAAGCCTGATTTGGAAGGATTTTTTGGCTTTTTGATTTTTTTGACTTTTTTTGTGAGAGAGGAGTGTAATGATTATGGGTTAGATTTGATGTTTTGTTTTTTGTGACTAAAATAGCCTATTTTTTTTTTGTGTGATTATTTTAGCCCCTAACTCACCAAAACCAATTTCCCAAACTATGCCTAAAAATAGTTAAATCTAGACATCTAATCCCATGACTAAGCAAACATAGGATACAAATTCAGTCCAACCAAATATACCGGAGATAATGTATCTCAAGCCTAATAATCCGATGAATTACAATCTCTCATTATCTAATCCGTCCAAACAAAATGTTGTAATGGATCATGGAAGCTGGTTTGAGAGTTTGACTTTTTAAATAATATTTTAATTTTTTATGAAAGAATAATATAAAAAATAAAAATAAAAATTTGATAATTTATAGTAATTTTAAAAAATTTTAACTATAAATCTTGATTTCCAAACAAGGCCTAGAAACAGGCTAAAAATTATTTTTAAAAAATAAAAAAATAAGCAAATCTTTCGTGTATCACTAAAAAAAATTTAAATATCACATCAATTTTTTTTTATTTACTTATTAAAAACAGTTTTTTTTTTTTTTTTCCTCAGCATTAACTAAAGACAAATACTAAAGAAATTAAAAAAAAAAACACTAAAAATAGTCACAAAAAGATATAACTTAGCCGGACAAAACCAACTATATATAACTTAGCATTTGTTTGGCCAAAATTAAAATTAGATTTTTTTGATTAAAATAATCACAAAAAGATAAAATAGATTTTTTAACCAAATAAAATATAATTTTACATCTAAATTATAATCATTTTATTTTTTTCTTACAAAAATTAAAAAACTTATTACAAACGAGATTTTTTAACCTCAAATCAAAAAAATAAAAAAACTAAAAAATCGACTCCCATCTGAAACCAACCCTTGTTAAGCTGTGGGACGCTTACGATTGGCAGCTCATAGATCTTATATCCTCAATCAAACGGTCCAAATTAACAGAGGAGAATCCACCTTTGCTCACAGATTGTCTGGCCAAATTAGCCATCCGATCGGCCGACCTCGCAAACTCCTCCTTCCTGACGTCCATCACGTCGTTGACCATCTTCTCAACAATGACTCTATCGCAGGTGTCCTTCATGTCCAACCCAAGCTTCCAAACCTCCCCAACAAACCTACTATTGATCTGTTGATCCACAAAATATGGCCAACAAATCATAGGCACTCCCTCGAACACACTCTCCAGTGTCGAGTTCCATCCACTGTGAGTCAGAAATGCCCCAACAGATGGGTGTCCCAGGACCTCTTCTTGCGGTGCCCAACCCACTACGTACCCTCTCTTCTTGGCCTCCTCCCGGAGCTCCGTCGCAATCTGACTCTCCCACTCTTTTCCGGCCATGGAGTCCGGCCGTATGACCCATAAGAAGCGCTTCCCGCTGTTGACCAGGCCGACCCAGAACTCCACCAGCTGCTCCTCTGTTATTGTCACAAGGCTTCCGAAGCTAACGTAGACCACCGATTTTGGCGGCTGCTCGTCCAACCAGGTTAAGCAGGTTCGATCTTCTGGCCGGAAGCTGCTTGAGGAGAAGGAGGATACGGGGGTTGTGTCGGCTGCCAGTCGGGCTTTGAGGTGGGCGTGGAGTGGTCCGATGTTGTAGAGATTTGGGCAGAGAGTGCGTATCTGAGAGAGCAAGGGTCCTTCCAGGTCTTCAAATGTGTTGAGTATGAGGCCGTCAGCTCGAGGGACTTGATGTCTCTCCGTCATGAAGAGTCGGATGCTTGGGTCATCCGGGTCGCCGCTCCGACAGAAGCTCGGAAGATCTCGACGCCGGAGAACACCTTCCATGCCCGGCACGCTCGTTATCAGCACATCCAACTCATTTTCTACAGTTAATTTCCATACATATGTATAAATTCTCTGAGTAAACCTAAGTGGATAATAGTTCGTTCAAAAAAAAAAAAAAAAAAGAAGTGTATAATAGTTATAGGATTGGGGGATTTTGATTTGCCATGTAATGAAGAATATCATAGAATGTGTAAAACATATAGGAGGAGTACCTTGGAAAGGAAATTCTCCAGATTGAAGGAGGATGGGAAGGCAGAAGAAAAGCCAGAGAGAACAAGGGCTGATAGTACGGCAGCAAACGATGGGAAGACCAATCTCTTTAGCAACATCAATGGTAAAACTCAAGATTCCATCTGCTATAATGAAAGTGACGGGAGGACGAGGAGCAATCGCGGAAGCTGGGAGCAGAAGCATCTGTCGAAAAAGAGGCTTGGTAACAGCTTGGAAAGCATTGAACATCTCCATGAATTGGTCACCCAATCGAGGGTGGTCTTCGGGAAGGCCATCGGAGATGGAGTCCAAATGGAATCCGGGATAGCGACTGAAATGGTATTGGATGTTGGTGAAACGGAGGAGACGACCGCGGATGTGGTTGGTGACCAGGAAGGTGACGTGGAGTCCGGATAGGCATAGAAGCTCTGCTAGCTTCAGCATGGAGTTAACAGGCCCCTGGAAGGGTAGGGGGAATATGAGTACATGAGGAGGAGAATGGAGTGCCTGTTGCTGCTGCGGCTGCTGCTGCTGATCCTCCATTGTCCCTGCTGCTGGATACTAGCTGCTCTTCCTCCCCAGTTCTTGTTTTTTGACAAGTTTACAATATCAGCAATGCTGATATCACGAAAATCTATTCATAAAAATAATTAATCCCACTGGCCACTGCAACCTAATCCCACTTCCAAATAAAGAATAGTAAATGATTGATCCTCTCTCTCACCTAAACGTGTCCACTACTCGACCCTCACAAAAGAAGTGAAGAGTGAGTTTTGAAATTTTTTTTGATTTGTTTAGTTGTATATTTTAAGAATTTTGTTTTTTTAGAGTTTAGGATGATTTGATATTTTTAGAAAATTTGAGTAAATGTGTGTGAGAGAAAAAGTGATTGAGAAGGAGAGAAGAGAGAGAAAAAGTAATTGATTGATGTGTAAGAGAGAGAAAGTGGTTTTGAATTTTTTTTGAGAAAAACTCAAACCAAACAATTTAAATTTTTTTTTTTTTCTAAAATTCATCTCCCAAATACAAACCAAACATACTTACAAACTTTTGTTTTTATTTTCTTTACTTTTAACAATATAATAAATATTATAAATTTGGGAGCAGCTTGTCTTGTCTGTGGATTGAAAGTGAACTAGACTGTCGTTTCATAAAAAAACAAGGAACTGGACTGGATTATTTAGGTGGTGTTTGGCAAGTTGGGTTGGGGCTAAAATAGTCACAAAAGACAAAACAAGCTATTTTAGCCACAACAAACAAAACATCACATCCAACCCATAATCATTACACTCTTCTCTCACAAAAAAAATCAAAAAAGCCAAAATTTAAATAATATTTATCTTTTTTTTAATAAATAAATGTGATAAATTAATATTATTAATAGATTCCGTATTGAAGTTTCATTACTGCATGACTATTTTATGAGCATTGTTTTTGAAGTCAAAAAATTAAATTTACGTTTCAATTTTAATAATATAGTAATCAATTAAAATATCTAACATAACACACTCTCTTTTATATCTTTTATAATCATCAATTAATAATATTACTTACAAATTATTGGGTCTAAAAAATAAATTTAAAAAAATGAGTTTATATATCATTTTTCTTTTTTATATTTTTTAGAACATTGCTATTCAAATTCAAAAATTAGACCCACTTATTTTGTAAGGTATTACTATTCAAGTTCAAAAATTAGACCTAATTTTCAAGCCATGTGGTAATCAATTAGGAGGAGAATTCTATTATGGGATTTAAATTGTAGTTTTCAATCTTTTTTATTTTTTTAATTTTTTAATTTTTTTTTTCATAATTTGTATATAAAAATCTAACAATTTATATTATTTTATATAAAAATATGTTATTAATTTTTTCACATTCCATGCATAGCACAAGTTTACCACTAGTTATAAAAAAAACCCAACAATGATATATATGCTCACTAGCTAAACTCATTTTCTAGACCTAATAATGTGTATAACTGATATGATTGATTGATGATTAAAAAAAAATATAAGAGAAATTATTGTCTTAGATATCCTAATTGAGGAAAAGACTATGGTACACACCCTTTTATCTATCAATTTTTAATTTGTCACAACTTTCAACATGTAACTTTCAACCTGTAACGGCTCGGACCGAGATTCGACCCTTGTAATTATTTGTATAAAGATGGTTGTATTATAAAAGTTTTTTGTCAATGATTGGACTTAGCTTGAAAATTTTTTAAGTGTAAGAATTGGATTTTTCAAAATTTACGATTTAGAAAATAATTTTTGGCTGTAATTGTTCTTTATATATATATTAAATATTCTAATTTGATTTTACGAGATTTTTCTACGAGGTATTAACCACTTTACTTCAACGCTAAACTTAGAAATTTCAGTTGAAAAATTATTTTTGTACTAAAATTGGGAGAACCACTTTTTGATTTAATTGCATTTTGATTTTTTTGTATTTTTCTTTGAATCCAAATGGGATGTATTTTCTTATTTACATTGTAAACTTAAATAAATTAAATATAAATGTAAGAGACTAAGCATTTACTTAAATGGCTATAAATGAAAATAAGGTTAATATGCTCAGAGTGCCTTAGGAGCTGAGCTGTATGACTTGCTGTGCCTTGGGTAACCGCTCGAGCGGTCAAGAAGGTGCATCTAGTATTATGCTCTGCATATTGAAATGGTGAGAGCTTGAGTTCAATGCTCGAGCTGTCTGGACGATATCAACAACTTAAAAGTTGCATTTTAGATCATTTCTTTCATTTTTTCTTTTCCTCTTCCTCTCCTCTCTTCTCAACTTCAAAAATCCTAATTTTCTCTCTCTAAATATCTCACTTTTCACCAAGATCCAAGCCTAAACTTCTTGCAAAAAATTAAGACTACTAAAGATCTTGATTTTTTACTGATTATATTGAGGTAGAAGACTCTCTTAACTCCATATATTTATGATTTGGTGTGATTTTTTAACATTTTGCGGTTATGGGTTGTTCTGAGTTAGAAAACTTTGATGGAAAGTTGTTAATGGACAAAAATGGAGTTTTCACTCAAATTTTTAAAATGTCTTGAATGTTTTAACATACCGACGAATAATATTTGATGATTTTTAGATTTGACGAAGAAATAAGGAAAAATCCCAATTTTCTTGAAACCCTAGATTTGGGATTTTTAATTTAAAAGAGGGTTTGAACTAATTGGTACTTTATGTTAAAATTTCAATTGATTTTCCTTGAATATATGTGAGTGGGATGAATTTTTGATTTATGATGATATTATTGACGATTCATGGAAGTTGAATCGTGTGGAAACTTGGGAATGTTGGAAGGATATAAAGTTAATAGTTTGCATGGAACTATTGTTAGTAATGAGAAAGACTTGGAGTCGTAGAAAAGAGAATATTTTATTAGTTTCTACTTGTTGGATTCTTGTGCAATTAAATTGAATTTTAGATAAATTAGAATATTTTTAAATTCATGCATTACATTGTATTCTCAAAGTTTTGGACTAAGTGTCTGGTGATTTAAAAGTGGGTGTGTGTTTTAGGTATACATCTTGTGTGTTGAGGTGCCCAATTTTCCTTTTATGTTTGTAGGTTGAAAAATGTGAGAATATTATTAGTATATTGTTAAGGTGCCTAATTGTCTTTCCATGCTAAACGCCGGTAAATTTAGGGGATATGACTGAATAGATTGTTGGGTGTCCAATTGCCCCTCTGTGCTCGGTGGTAAATGTTGGATATTTTCAAAATGAAATAGGTGTCCAATTGCTTCTCCGTGCTCGGTGGCCTGTAAATGTGATGATTTTTTCAAAAGTAAGAGGTGCCCACTTGCCCTATTGTGCTTGGTGGCCGGTAAATGTAGAGAGTAATTGAGATATGTAACGTGAATTTTATTACAAAATGAAAGGTCCTTGGTTATGTTAAAGGTTAAAGAGTTGAGTCAATCATGAATTTTAAATTATACATTAAGCATTCGAGTTTCAAAACAAAGTCAATGTCTTAAGCGTGGCATAGCATTGCATGAACATAATCATATCGAAAATTTATATATTGGGTTAAGTTTATTTCCTACTGAGCATAAAAGCTCACTCCTTTTTTTGGGCTAGATATCCAACATTCCAAGTGATAAAGACGTGCCTCCAATTCGTTGAGAAGCAAATGGATTATAGATAGAGCACTGACGCTCGTTTTGATGTTGTTTGTTTATAGCTATTGAGCTTACTTGCCAAGATAGAATTTTATTTTGTTGTGATCAAGGCCTTTAGTGCTGAAAGATGTGAGCCCTTATGGAAATTTGATATATAGTTTATAATTCCACGTATCGTAATTCAATGTAATGAACTTGATGTAGAATCTATGAAAAACTGGTGAGTTTTGGCTTATAAATTTGTTGTTTTTTGTTCCTTGTTCACATTAATGTTCTGGAATTTGGTAACAGTAATGGATTGGTAATCTATAAAATGGTATAGAAATATCGGGGTGTTACAAGAGGTGCGTGGTGTTATGGGTTCGTTGGCTCAGGAATTGGCGGGTACACTTTGAGAATCTACGAATATTTTGAGGGCTAAGAAAGCAATACGGGCCACCGTAGGAGAGACTAGATCCTCTTCTTTAGCAAAGGAGTTCTTTAATTCAAAACCTATGGAGTTTTATGGTTGGTCTAACCCGCTTCAAGTGGATAAATGGCTAGAACAGACGGTGAAGACGTTTGAGGTGTTTCACATTGTTGATGATGAGCTTCGGGTTCCCTTGGAGGCCTTCCAATTGAAAGGGGACTCAGGTCAATGGTGAAAATATGCCAAAGACCGTATAGTGCACACATGAAAAACATTTACTCACGCCTTCCAAGAGAAGTATCTTCCACCCATGGCCAGGGAGCATTTGAGGAAACAGTTTGAAGAGTTAGAATAGCTCAACAGACCCTTAGCGGAGTTTGAAGCAGCCTTTATTAGCTTGTTGAGGTATGCACAAGAGTTAGTGACGACTGATGAGCGTTGTTGTTCGGAATTTGAGAAGAGACTTAGGTGGGACATCAAGATGAAGGTGGTTGGCAGTATGATTGGGAGTTATGATAGACTTGTGGAAGCAGCCGCACATGTGGAAATCACCTTGGAAAAGAGGAAGAAATAGAGGGGTAAAAGACAAGGAGGACATGAGTCACAGAGTGACTCGGGGACATCCAAGAAGTCGAAGGGTATCACTAGCACTCAATCGCAGTTGTAGCGGACCATGCCTTGGGCTATGGTAACGAAGATGAGTTCAAGGAGTACTAGTCAAAATAAAATGACTTGTTTTTGATGTAGCCAGCAAGGTCACAAGGCTTCAATTTTCCCTCAAAATGAGGGAAAACAACTGTAGTAATGGCCGGCTCATTCTCATAGCTAGTTTCGGAGTAGTGGTTGGATGTCCACCTGCTACCAGTGTGGAGAACCAAGGCACATGAAGAGACTTTGCCTGCAGTTGGTAGGGGTTCCTAGTGCTTCAAGATCCTAATAATCATATAACCTTCAATAGGCTTTGGGTTAGAAACAACTTCATTTGTTAGTCCAATTACAAGATAAAAGATCACCCACTTGTTTTAAGTGTAATTAGCCGGGCCATGTTAAGCATAATTGCCCTCAAAGTGGACAGAACCAAATTAGTAGTTCAAGCAAGGACAGTGATGCTATGAGGAAACAGTGTGATGTTTTGTTGTTTTGGTATTGTAATGCTATGGTGTTATAGGTAGGACAGTGTATTTACAGATGTTGCATATGTATATATATGTGTGTGTGTGCTTTTCTAGGGGAATTAGATTGTAATTGTAACAACCCCGACCCATGATTAACGTTAATCCATGCTTAAGTATGCCTAATAAGTAATTAAGAAGAAATCATGAGTTAATTACGTGTGCATTGCATTATTTGTGTTTATATCTGTTTAACGTAGGAAGATCTGTTCATTTTTTTGTTTCAATTTGCGAATTAAAGGCCTTATCAGCATTCGATTTAGAATTGACTTGATTTATGTGTTATTTGGAATTTTAGAATTTTATGGTAGATTTAATAAAAATTCGATTTGAAACGATTAAATTAGATTAATTTAATGCCTATTTGATTAGCTTTAATGAACCACCACTAGGTAAGCCTATATAAGGCCACCCTCATCGCCTCTTTTATACTTTACACTCTTATTCACTCATATCTTTGAACTCAAACGTAGGAAAGAGAGAGAGAGAGAGAGAGAGAGAGAGAGAGAGAGAATGAATTGAGATCAAGAGCTTGAAAAGAGAGATTTGCTAGGAATTGTTGAAGAATATGAGTAAATTTGGAGATTGAAGCTTTTACACTTATGAATCTAACACTCTAGGTAAGAATTCTAGTCTTTGGCCTTGTAAAGTAGTTGATTAATGCATGGAAACAAGTGAATTAGGTGAATTCATATGGGAATTGAGCTAGAATTGAAGAAAGTTAAGTCATTCCATACATGCATGCATATATCATAACATCTTGAGTTTGAAATCAAAGAATTACCACATGCATGTGTCTATCTTGACTTGGTATTGAGAAATCATCACATTTCTTACCATTTGACTTTAATTAATCATATTTTAAAAAGCCATAGTTCAAGAAATTTACATGCATGTTATATCTATATTATGTTTTCATAATTCTCGTTGAAAAACAAATGGATTCTAGATGGAGCACTAAAACTCCTTTTGATATTGTCTGTTTACAGCTATTGAGCTTACTTACTGGGATATAATTTTATTTTGTTGTGATCAAGGCCTTTAGCCTTAAAAGATGTAAACCCTTATTGCAATTTGATGTATATTTTATAATTCCGCGTATTGTAAATCAATGTAATGAACTTGATGAAGAATCTACGAAAAATGGTGAGTTTTGGTTTATAAGATTGTTATCTTTTGTTCCTTATTCACGTTAATATTATGGAATTCGGTAATAGTAACGGATTAGTAATCTATAAAATGGTATATAAATATCAGAGCGTTACACAACCCCTTTGCTAGAGTTGCAAACTTGGGCGAGCTCAACGCAAGCAATTCGAGTCATGCCTGAAATTTTTTAAAGATTTGGCCACATAAATTTTAATTCGGTAAGGACTTTTGTAAAAATTAAAAAAATTTGAATTAAATTTGCTGGACTGTGGCAGAGAGACCAAATAACATGAGTAATTGAAACTAATTTGTATAGATAAATATTAACGGCTCAGGTCGAGATTCGACCCTTATTCTTGTTCGTATAAAGATGGTTGTTTTAAAAAGTGTTTTTGTGTGTGTGTGTGTGTCAAAGATTGGACTTTAGCTTGAAAATTTTCTAAGTGTAAAAATTGGATTTTTCAAAATTTTCGATTTAGAAAATAATTTTGGGCAGTACTTGTTCCTTATATATTAAGTAGTCTAATTTGATTTTATGAGATTTTTCTACGAGGTATTAACCACTTTACTTCAACGCTAAACTTAGAAATTTTAGTTGAAAAATTATTTTTGTACTAAAATTGGGAGAACCACTTTTTGATTTAATTGCATTTTGATTTTTTTGTATTTTTCTTTGAATCCAAATGGGATGTATTTCCTTATTTACATTGTAAACTTAAATAAATTAAATATAAATGTAAGAGACTAAGCATTTACTTAAATGGCTACAAATGAAAATAAGGTTAATATGCTCAGAGTGCCTTAGGAGCTGAGCTGTATGACTTGCTGTGCCTTGGGTGACCGCTCGAGCGGTGAAGAAGGTGCATCTAGTATTATGCTCTGCATATTGAAATGGTGAGAGCTTGAGTTCAATGCTCGAGCTGTCTGGACGATATCAACAACTTAAAAGTTGCATTTTAGATCATTTCTTTCATTTTTTCTTTTCCTCTTCCTCTCCTCTCTCCTCAACTTCGAAAATCCTAATTTTCTCTCTCTAAATATCTCACTTTTCACCAAGATCCAAGCCTAAACTTCTTGCAAAAAATGAAGACTACTAAAGATCTTGATTTTTTACTGATTATATTGAGGTAGGAGACTCTCTTAACTCCATATATTTATGATTTGGTGTGATTTTTTAACATTTTGCGGTTATGGGTTGTTCTGAGTTAGAAAACTTTAATGGAAAGTTGTTAATGGACAAAAATGGAGTTTTCACTCAAATTTTTAAAATGTCTTGAATGTTTTAACATACTGACGAATGATATTTGATGATTTTTAGATTTGACGAAGAAATGAGGAAAAATCCCAATTTTCTTGAAACCCTAGATTTGGGATTTTTAATTTAAAAGAGGGTTTGAACTAATTAGTACTTTATGTTGAAATTTCAATTGATTTTCCTTGAATATACGTGAGTGTGACGAATTTTTTATTTATGATGATATTATTGAGGATTCATGGAAGTTGAATCGTGTGGAAACTTGGGAATGTTGAAAGGATACAAAGTTAATATTTTGCATGGAATTATTATTGGTAATGAGAAAGACTTGGAGTCATAGAAAAGAGAATATTTCATTAGTTCTTACTTGTTGGATTCTTGTGCAATTAAATTGAATTTTAGATAAATTAGAATATTTTTAAATTCATGCATTACATTGTATTCTCAAAGTTTTGGACTAAGTGTCTGGTGATTTAAAAGTGGGTGTGTGTTTTAGGTATACATCGTGTGTGTTGAGGTGCCCAATTTTCCTTTCATGTTTGTAGGTTGAAAAATGTGAGAATATTATTAGTATATTGTTAAGGTGCCTAATTGTCTTTCCATGCTAAACGCCGGTAAATTTAGGAGATATGACTGAATAGATTGTTGGGTGTCCAGTTGCCCCTTTGTGCTCGGTGGTAAATGTTGGATATTTTCAAAATGAAATAGGTGTCCAATTGCTTCTCCGTGCTCGGTGGCCTATAAATGTGATGATTTTTTCAAAAGTAAGAGGTGCCCACTTGCCCTATTGTGCTTGGTGGCCGGTAAATGTAGAGAGTAATTGAGATATGTAACGTGAATTTTATTGCAAAATGAAAGGCCCTTGGTTATGTTAAAGGTTAAAGAGTTGAGTCAATCATGAATTTTAAATTATACATTAAGCATTCGAGTTTCAAAACAAAGTCAATGTCTTAAGCGTGGCATAGCATTGCATGAACATAATCATATCGTACATTTATATATTGGGTTAAGTTTATTTCCTACTGAGCATAAAAGCTCACTCTTTTTTTTGGGCTAGATATCCAACATTCCAAGTGATAAAGACGTGCCTCCAATTCGTTGAGAAGCAAATGGATTATAGATAGAGCACTAAAGCTCGTTTTGATGTTGTTTGTTTACAGCTATTGAGCTTACTTGCCAAGATAGAATTTTATTTTGTTGTGATCAAGGCCTTTAGTGTTGAAAGATGTGAGCCCTTATGGAAATTTGATATATAGTTTATAATTCCACGTATCGTAATTCAATGTAATGAACTTGATGTAGAATCTATGAAAAACTGGTGAGTTTGGCTTATAAATTTGTTGTTTTTTGTTCCTTGTTCACATTAATGTTCTGGAATTTGGTAACAGTAATGGATTGGTAATCTATAAAATGGTATAGAAATATCGGGGTGTTACAAGAGGTGCGTGGTGTTATGGGTTCGTTGGCTCAGGAATTGGCGGGTACACTTTGAGAATCTATGAATATTTTGAGGGCTAAGAAAGCAATACGGGCCACCATAGGAGAGACTAGATCCTCTTCTTTAGCAAAGGAGTTCTTTAATTCAAAACCTATGGAGTTTTATGGTTGGTCTAACCCTCTTCAAGTGGATAAATGGCTAGAACAGACGGTGAAGACGTTTGAGGTGTTTCACATTGTTGATGATGAGCTTCGGGTTCCCTTGGAGGCCTTCCAATTGAAAGGGGACTCAGGTCAATGGTGAAAATATGCCAAAGTCCGTATAGTGCACACATGAAAAACATTTACTCGCGCCTTCCAAGAGAAGTATCTTCCACCCATGGCCAGGGAGCATTTGAGGAAACAGTTTGAAGAGTTAGAATAGCTCAACACACCCTTAGCAGAGTTTGAAGCAGCCTTTATTAGCTTGTTGAGGTATGCACAAGAGTTAGTGACGACTGATGAGCGTTGTTGTTCGGAATTTGAGAAGAGACTTAGGTGGGACATCAAGATGAAGGTGGTTGGCAGTATGATTGGGAGTTATGATAGACTTGTGGAAGCAGCCGCACATGTGGAAATCACCTTGGAAAAGAGGAAGAAATAGAGGGGTAAAAGACAAGGAGGACATGAGTCACAGAGTGACTCGGGGACATCCAAGAAGTCGAAGGGTATCACTAGCACTCAATCGCAGTTGCAGCGGACCATGCCTTGGGCTATGGTAATGGAGATGAGTTCAAGGAGTACTAGTCAAAATAAAATGACTTGTTTTTGATGTAGGCAGCAAGGTCACAAGGCTTCAATTTTCCCTCAAAATGAGGGAAAACAACTGTAGTAATGGCTGGCTCATTCTCATAGCTAGTTTCGGAGTAGTGGTTGGATGTCCACCTGCTACCAATGTGGAGAACCAAGGTACATGAAGAGACTTTGCCCGCAGTTGGTAGGGGTTCCTAGTGCTTCAGGATCCTAATAGTCATATAACCTTCAATAGGCTTTGGGTCAAAAACAACTTCATTTGTTAGTCCAATTACAAGATAAGAGATCACCCACTTGTTTTAAGTGTAATAAAAAGGTGCTACAGTAGGGGCTTATGGGCAAATTTTCCAAAAGAGGCTATAATAGCCTAAACCTCTTATTGCCAAACACCCCCAATAATACATTATTTCCATAAATTTCATAATGGTAACAATTCCACCCGCAACAGTTTGACACTGATGTCAGTTTGATAGGTCATAACTATTTCGCCCTTTAAAAATTATTTTTCATAATTTTTGTAAATAAAAATTTAGAAAATATTTGAGATTATCAAAAAAATTCTCACAATTACATGTGGATTGGAAAAAGTTAATAAATG